CAATAAACAAAATCACGTGAAAATCACGTCAATATCAAGGTATCGACTTGAGGAGAGTTACGTTCTTCAAATACCGGACATTTACGTAAATGTGTTAATACGTTTATTGCATTAGGTAACTTAAAACACACGTACACTAAATCACGCAATTGTCACTGCAATATCACCATTATAATAACGTGATTATCCCTACCTTGGAGACCATGGTTTGTAAACCTAATACTCCCGTGTTTGTTTGGTTATGAAATTACATCTTCATACACGAAATTATCGCGTCACAGAAACACGTGAAGCGTTAGTGATAATTTTAGTCAAAATATCTGCGTGAAATTCACGTGAATATTACGAGGCTGATTTGAGATGAATCATGTTCTTCATTCACGTGAAATTTACGTCGAAAAGGAAGGATGTTACTGTAACCCGCGTTCAACCCAATAATTACGCAAATGTTACACAATAAATGAACCAAAATAATGACGTTCTCATCCCGTTTCTGAACATCGTGTCTTGGATCTTCCATAATTACGTCCAGGCGCGCCGGAAGCAGTTTGGGATTAGAGGGGTTAGTGGGTGCAAACATCCCAGAAGAGAAAGCTAGTTGCAACTGGTCCAGTTGATGAACCATTTAATGCCAACTGGAAACCCTGGAAATTGAAATGGGCTAAATGATCCAGTTGATCCAGGCCAGTTATAATTCAACTGGTCTAGCTGAGCCATTAGAACCATTTGGTAAAACTTCCAACCAGTTGAACAGCAACAATACTTCAATACTGGTACGTCTGTATTTCCAATGTAAGGGCATTGGTAATAAGTAGACTTACATAATTGAATTAATCGAAAAAAATTCGTATATTTGTACTTTATTGAAATCATTTTAGTTCACAGTTAATGTTTCCCTTATTCATGTTTAACTAAATGTAATTTATACGAAGTAGCGAAATGTCCTAATAACTGGTAATTTATATTTGTAGTATTTTCGAAATGAATTGCAAATAACTAAATCATCAGTAATTAAGAAATATGCTGTAAATTCAGATAAATTATTTAAAAAACAAAGATCTGCAGGCACCCCATATTCAATATGCAAATGAATTGGTGTCAGCTGGGTCAACTCGAAATATGCCAACGCTCAGTCATCAACTGGTGCAACTGGAAATATGCACACTCCAGTTATCAACTGGTGCAATGAAAATATGCCAACAGTCAGTTATCAACTGGTGAACATAGAAATATGCCAACAGTCACGGGATTATCACCACGGAACTTAAATGGTAACTGTGAAACTATCAAGACACCCAAGAATAACTCATTTTCACACATGGAAAACACGGAATACCCAGCTTATATTAATAATCCATTTGAGTCACGCGATCATCACCGCGGAACTGCTGGCAACTTTGACTACGATTTAAATAGGTGTTTTAAGACACCTAATCATGACTAATTTTTCACACATAAAAGTCACGTATGCCCAGCTTAGATGAATAATCCGTTTGAGTCACGAGATCATCACCGCGGAACTTATGGCAACTTTGACTTCCATTTAAATAGGTGTTTTAAAACACTTAATAATTACTAATTTTCACACCTACATATTACACGTTTTCACAGCTTAGATTAGTAATCAGCTTGAGCCACGTGATCATAACCAAGAAATTTATGGTAACTTTGAAACCTTTAAAGAGGTGTGTAAGACACCTCAGAATTACTAGTTGAATATAACCAGAGATTCACGGACAGAACAATAAGACGATTAGCCGGTGTAAGTATCGTGATTATTACCATCAACCTTGGATAACCTGTGAAACCAATCAATAAAGGTGCTTACAAGACCAAATAATTACGTATTTATCGCCACCATCGGTTAACTGACAAAAAACTCGTTGCTTGGTCAAGTGGTTATTTGGTCATAAACACTTGATTTACAGAGGTAATTGGAATCACGTTACTCCAGTCGCGTGATAAACTGGTGGTTTTTAGGTTAGATGAAAACGTGAACAGGAGTACCTTTTTTGTTTAAATGAAGGCACGTGTCGATAACGTTTAAATCTAGTTCAAAAGGCACTATACTTTAAAATCACTTAAAATACACTCCCGAAAGAGGTTACTTTTTAGTGTTCTGTTTATTGGGTACTGTTGTGGGCATGTCGTGTGAACTTGTCGTGTTCGAAAGGAAGCAGGTCTGGGTGTTCCCTTCCAAACGACATCTCAGCTCTATCAAATCTGCCTTCTACTCGGGTGATGCCCGTACCGTCTGTGTGAGCACTAAGGGCTTTCAGTTCTCCCATATCGTCTCTGCCTTTCAGTGACTTCTTGGCACTCTGGATCAATACTGCTTCTCCTTTCTCTAACTCATCAGGTGTCAAAGTGCCAATGTTGTCATTATCACCAACATCACTTTCCTTCCTGCACTTCGATCTCAGCTTTCTTACAAACTTCAGCACATATAATGTCACTCCGATCAACTTTCTCCAGCTGAAGAACCTCTTGCAGTCAATGACGTCCTCTTTGTTGGTTACTATCAAGACTGATTGTTCTTCTTTACCTCTTTCTGATTCAACTTCAGGCACCTTTCCCTCTAGCTTTGGTTCTTCTGGCCACTCTGACTTTGGTTGGCACAGAAAATCAGGTCCGTGCTGCCATCTGCCGTCAAACTCATCTTCACTCAAATCTTGGGTGAGCTCATCTGCAACATTCACCTCTGCTTCTTGCCTGCTGATACCACTAGGATGGCACTGCACTGGATCATGACAAACTTCAATTGGTTCTGTCGTCCAGAAATCATTGAAGTCCACTGAGTTGGCAAGCATAACATTCATAACTATACTCTTGGTTGGCTGTTGCTTTGAGGTAGCTCCAAACACTACCCATCCTAAAGGTGAATGCCTTGCCAACATATTCCCTCTCTCTCTGGTTTCTCCTTTATGAAGCTTAGCATGGTCGGTTCCTACTAACACATCGATGGATCCAAAACCACGGTGTAGAAGATCCTTCTTCAGGTGGAATGTCCTTGCAAGCTCATCAACCCGAACTTCTGCTACATTATCGTTGATGCACTCCAACCCAAGTGCCGACACTCCGTAAGCCTGCTTGCCTTTAAGGGACTGTAGTCTCATCCTATACAGTTTCGTCTTCACTGCTTCAACACGGCCTCCGACTTTCGTGATGTTGATCGTGATCGGTTTCCCGACCAAACCCATGTCTTCTGCCATCGACTGCTTCACAAGACTAATCTGGGATCCTGAGTCTATTAGACAGTTCGCTGTTGAACTCTTCTGATCTGGACCCAGCACTTTCACCGTAACCACTGGCAGTAGGGCGGACTTTCCAGCTACACTGGCTACTATCTCAGTTCTGGTTTCAACTTCCCTGTGCAGCAGAGGATGATGAAATGAAGAACACTGCTCCCCATTTATCTCTTTAGAGCACCTCTTCCTTCTCTTGCAGGTTCTCATGTTGTGCTCTCTGCCTGCCTTCTTGAGACAACTAAAACATGCATGATTGTCTCTCATTAACTGAAACCTCTCTGTCTGACTCTTGGAGAGGACCTTCTGGCAATGTTCAACCCAATAATCAGAAGATTCGCAGATCCAGCATCTGTACTGGGTAAATTGGGTACTCTCACTGTTCTGTTTGTTGTCAGCACTTACATGGTGGACTGCATTCTTCTGTCTGCTGCTACTAGTTGCACTTCTAAGCGGTGCAGTGGCCCGCATACGTGTCATCATCTCCGTCTCCATCCAGTCCAGTAAGTGCTGCAAACTGACATCCTTGTCAGCACTTTCTACATGTCTGAACCACACCTTCCGGTCTTCGAGGGTCATCTTACGCTCTATCAGAGCCAATGTTTGGCTGTTGTCAATGTCTTGTGGACAGCCAACTTCCTTCAGTGTATTGAAGCTTCGCCTCAACAGGTGCACCAGATCGCAAAATCTGGAGTCCTCTCCGTCCCTCAAATCCCTAAAAGAATTCACATCGTAGATTATGGCATCTGCTATAAATCGCCGGTCACCGAAAACAGAGTTCAGGTATGCCCAAGCAGCATCATAATCGTTGCCTACCCCTCTTATCATGTCCAAGGGCTTTCCCTGGAGGCAGGTACGCAGTATGGTGACCGCATCTCTCTTGCTATATTGAGTATCGATTAGATGATGAAAGTCCGATCGAAACGTAGCAAACTCTCTCACGTCACCGCTGAACTTTGGAAGTTTTGGGCGTTCCATCTGTACTTTGCAGGAGGTGACAACACGTGAGTCAACCTCTGCCTCTCTGCTCACAGTCTCATTCTCTTGCCCTGCTGTCTCTGCGGCTACAGACGATGCAGCAGTAGCTCCGCTTGGACCATCACTCACATCCGGTACAGTTACAATTGCCTTTGACTTGGCATGGTCCCTTATTCTCATCTGCATATCAATGAATGTAGACTGGCAGCTTTCCAACCAGGCTTCCTCTTTAGTGAATTCATCATCATCATCAATGGTCTCACAGAAGGCCTCATGCCTTTTCTCTAAATCTATAAATGTAACTTGCAAACCTTGGAAAGCTTCGTCGACCTCCTCAAGGTCCCTGTCATGGTCCAACAAATGCTGCAAGGCGTTGGACATCCGGGTTAGCTTAGCATTTGCAGTTCTCCTCTTGATCTTGAGGTCCTTTACATCTTGTTCAGTTGTCATCTTGGAATAACTTAATCCCTTCGTCTCCTATTCCAGGTCAGCGTAGAAATCGAATGCAATGAATAGTTGAAGAAAGGGAAAAATGAAGTTTGGGAGTCCAGCCGTAAATGGAGATATTAAGCTGTGAAGCTTATTTTACAGTTCAACTTGAAACTATCTTATTTTCCGTTTTATCAGTTCACATTCCAGTTTATATTAATCTAAACACTCACTTCTGTGGCGGGACAAAACTTCGTCGGGAATACTTGAATGGCAACTGACGGATTAACTGGTAAATGAGTCAAACTGGACTACATTTCTGACTGCGTTCAGTGCTGACTGAAGAACATGGCGACAGTGCCGAACCTAACCTATGGTAGCTTATAAGAGCAAAAAAAAGAGAAAATCTAAACCAAGCAAAAATCATCGCTCGGCGAAACACTTTCGATTATTTTGTTTTGACGAAATTGAAATTATTCCAGAATATTTTGTTTATACAACTAAATATCTTTCGCAGCATCTTTAGAGATGTCCTACAACACCATGGTTGAAAAACGATTTTGTTTAATAGGGAAATCATCCAAGAGTGAGCTATTTCCAGCAACGCAGGAATGAAATGCATTATGAACGACCGTAAACTTGAGGCAGGGGTCATCATATTCCACGTTCGCAAAAGATGTCCATGGAATGCAATCAAGGGCATTTTCCTGTTGCGTTACTAATAGAAATCATGTTCGGATTTAATATGGCATTAATTTTTTTAATCTTCTTGTTGAATTTTGACGATGTTTGTTTAATACTAAATCGTTCTCTTCCTAACTTTTTTGCACTACATGTATATCCTTTTCTGGGGAAAAGTCCGTCAGGGCAGACAGAAGAATGATTAAATGGGATATTGAATGAATTGAAAGAGAGTACATCATGAATCGAGGGAATCTCGTTTTGCACCCCATCTTCTACTCAGGATTTCAATACACCATATACTATCATGAACATATAAAGGGGAACGTGAAATGCAACAACAAAATCTTGTAAAGGTATTATTCCTAATTTACAAAGGAACGGTACCATAAGTTGTAATTGTTCACAAAGTTCTTACTTTTAAGGCAGCACAATATTACACTATTTTTATTCATTACCACCTGCAAAACACATACACGCTACGAGCATTATTTAATTGTGTACATGGATCTGCCTCACAGTACAATATTTTTTTGATTAGTCACTACACACCTGCCAGATCTTTACGTTCTCAAAAGTCTGGATTGCATGTTCTCCCAAAACCTAAAACAAAGTGGAGAAAGAGAGCCATTGCTTATAATGGGCCATTACTCTATAATCGTTTACCTCGAGGGATCAGAGATATTATTACAGTAAAATCTTTCACAATCAATCTTAAAACGCATTATTTGCAGTTTTTACTTTTAGTTGATATGATTTTTTTCTTATTTTTGTGTTATATCCTCTTTTCTGTACAAGTATGTTTAAGTATTTTTTTTTTCATTTGTTGCACTAGTGCGCCTTTTTAAGTTGATATGGCGACTTATAAATCCAATATCATTATTATCATAAGTAGCAGAGGTTTGCAAAGGAGTATAACGGCTGCACGTATAACGTATTTTCATTAACAAAATTGATCCTATTTTAATGTTAGTCTTACGAAATGTGACTATGTCTTTAACTTGTAACCATAGGCTTTTTATTCATGTAATCAAATCAATTGTATCTTTATACAGGGTTTCAAGTGTACTTCCCGGCAAACCAATACATGTACTCCGTTCCTGCCGATTTCCCGCTCAACCGGACCATAGCGCGGGTCTTGGCGTTAACGCGCCACGCGGTAAACGACGCGCGTGCCGACATCAGTTATAGCATTCGGCACGACCACCATCGGACAGCGCGCGAAGACGGCGGCGCCAATTTGGAGAAATACTTCAGTATAAATTCAACAACCGGAAGTCTGATGCTAATCACAAATATTACGGGTAAGTGGTATCGCAACGCGAGTATAACCATCCTGCATTCTTTTGGAAATAAAACGTGATAAACTAATCTTTCCCAAATGACACAGATATTGCCTTAACAAAAAGGTAAAGAAAGTAGAATTTTTTTCAGTATTCCTCTCTTCTATATCTTGTAATTACGATATTAGTATTTTGATAAATTGCCACACCTTTAAGCTTAGCTTAATATCATGTGACAAGCGTTTTTTCATGACTGTCTTTTGATAATGCTGTATTGATTTAATTACTTTTACTTTCAGCTACGTGTTTTTGTCTATTATGTTGTTATTTGTTTATAAAATGTAGGAAAAACATGCATGAAGATAAATTAATTAAAAAACGAAATCTTGAAAACAAATTATCATGAACATTCGCATAAAAAACACCGGTTACATAAAAATGGTACTCTAACTTTTGCCACGATAAAAGCTTGGCCCTTATCGTAAATACCATGTACACCCATAATAATTAAATCAATTTGAGAGTTCACTTCTTCAATATGACCGGTTTCATTTTTATTTATTCAGATGGTTGATTTATATCAAAATAGTATATAAATGGTATATGAGCATAAAAACGGCACATATTCTTTCATTTTCAGCCACCAATCGAAAATCAATAAAATCATGTGCTCATTATATTACCTATTTAGCTTGAGTGGATATATTGGCTGTCAAAAAAACAACAACATTGTTTTATACAGGGGTTTTGTAAGGTCGGACATAAATACAAAGAATAAGCAAAGTCACACTGACGAAATAGTCAGGGTAATGAAAAAATGTCGCTATTCTAATAAGAGTGTATCATTTGTATTCCGTTAAATGCTTTATTTATGCACTGTTATAATTATGAACGATATAACATTTCATTTCGAGGTGGTGGGAACTCCGTCTTCAAATACTTTATACACATTAAAATTGCGAGATATTTATTATATTTCATATGGTCATTTCTGTGTTCATATCTTAAATGGATACCCGGTAAGATGCGAAAGTTAATGTGGTTGGATGAGCAAGGGTGCGCTTGAAAACTGGCGACTGGCTGGAATGCTCCCCAGGGAGTGGAGAATGAGCATACATTGTGTGCGGATAAGCCTGAATCCGATGATCGGGGTAATATATAATATATCTGTAAAGTGCTTATACAGTGCGTCCCAGAAAAAACGAAACCGAGAAGTGTCGATGTTCTATCATAACTTAATCACAACTATAATTAATGAATGATACATATTTGGAAAGCGTAGAGTCTCCTCTTTCATGTGATGCTACTCAGATGATGCATATTTCACGCATGAGTGATTAAAAGCAATTTGAAGGAAGTAAACCAAAAAGACATTTGGCGGGCGGTATCTGAATTTCGAAGAAAAATTCACATTTCTAGAAAGTTGAGCTTCTGCCCTTTCATATGACACCTCAATCAGGAAAAATGAGCGAGGAATGACAAAGTTCTGTTTGTTTAAAGTAGTGCTTGCATTTCCATAATTTTATTAAACGAATTCGTTTTCACTGGCTGCCCGCCGTATCAATAAACGAAATTAACAAAAGACTTAACTCCGTTTCGTTGACAATCAGCCGTAGACGAGAGTCTTCATGCATGGCTGATTGTCAACGAAACGGAGTTAAGTCTTTTGTCAAATCTGCTTTTTGCTACGGCAGGCACCCAGTGAAAACGAATTCGTTTGTTAAAATTATGAAAATGTAAGGGCTACTTTAAACAAACAGAACTTTGTTATTCCTCGCTCATTTTTCCTGATTGAGGTGTCATATAAAAGGGCAGAAACTCAACTTTCTAGAAATGTGAATTTTTCTTCGAAATTCAGATACCGCCCGCCAAATGTCTTTTTGGTTTACTTCCTTCAAATTGCTTTTAATCACTCATGCGTAAAATATGCATCGTTTGAGTAGCATCAACTAAAAGAGGAGACTCTAAGCTTTCCAAATATGTATCATTCATTAATTATGGTTGTGATTAAGTTATGATAAAACATCGATACTTCTCGGTTTCGTTTTTTCTGGGACGCACTGTATAAGTCACATCGTTGTATCGACGTATTTGGCGCTATATAAAAAGCGAATTCGTCCTCTTATTATTATTATATCTCCAAATTTCGCTTCTATTCTAATTGCGGTGATATGTTTTAGAGGTATATTATGTTTTACAGAGCAAGTGCCTGTATCAATACCATTCCCTTTTTCGGTAAGGAATGCAGATTGTTTACGTTATTCATTTAGCAATCATCTATTGTGTCCCACCTCTCACGTTTTTGTTTAAGGGAATGATATAAGATTACCAGTCCGAGCAACAGCTCATCTCTGTGGTAAGGTGAGTGAAGGAAGCACGTGGATTCGCTTGAAGGTGAGACACAGGGAACCGTCCTGCATGTGTAGGATCAGTTCCGTCATGCGCATCCACGAGTCGGAGTTCCCGACACAGTCCCTTGCGTTCCTCTACCAACCTACCGGCAATCCTGGCAGCGAGGTTGCGGGTTCGACAACATTCGAAATTTCATCAGGTAATAAAGCAGTCCAAGAACTGATTTTCATTATAATTTGTGTTTAATTGAATACAAATCTTTTGTAGAGATTTGTGAGTTGGAACGTGAAAGAAATTGTTTATATTTCAATAATGTGAGAAAGTTATTACATCTACTCGATTGAGAAAAAAAGGGAAAAGTAAAAAACAAAACAAGTGTAGTAGTCCTTATTGCGAAACACAAGTTGATTTCACAAATTTAATGCGTGTTCTCTTTCATCATGATTTCCATGAAACATTGTAACCCCAAAGAAACCAGGTCTTGAAAGTAATCACGGGTGATTAAAAGAGAGATTGCAATATCCACGCATATACCAACTGCCTCCACCCCTATCCAGCACGACACCGACAAGAGCTACTGTAACAGTACAAGTGTAGAAAAACTTTTTAAGGAAACACATTACTATCCCCATTCCAAGAATGCATGTGTGAGAAATACTGAGCTGACCCTCAAAAAACTAAAAAAATGTGTCGATATTGCGGATATTAAGGGTCACATGACATCTCTAATTTTTGAATATCGCAGATTATGGTACAAATAACCTCTAATTCCATATCCCTAACGGTCTGCGAAATAAACTCTGATGGCCGCGAAAAAACTCACCCTTTTCATTATGTCCGTAGACGTCCGAGCAGTCATGCTTGTTGAATGACCACCATAGGGTGGATGCATGCGTTACATATTCTTAAACATATTCCCCTCCTCCTCCCCCCCCACATGTTTTACCTCAGAAAACCTAGACAGCATATTCAGCATCGACAATACAACCGGGGAACTGAGCATGCGCACATTTAATGGGATCCATACGAACCAAACCATTCATCATATCACCGTGCGTTGTCTGAGGGTCGACGAAAATGGCGCAATTTTGAAAGAAAATTCTCAGAATTTAACGCTGTGCGTCGACGCCTCCTACAACACAACCGTTCAGGGTAGAGTGATGTACAGCCGACACAAGGTATGTTCGTATCTTGAAGTGTTTTGTTGTTGTTCGTCTTGTTTGTAACAATAGGGACTTTTCGATTTGCACGACGAGAACGTGGACTGCCACATGTGACATCCTTTTAAGGCAATGTGACGTCCTTTTAAGGCATTGCCGGAAAGGACGTCACATTGCCTTGAAAGGGTGTCACACGTGGCAGTCCACGTTCTCGTCGTGCAAATCTAAAAAGTCCTTATTGTCGTGTATTGGACAGAAAATTGCCAAATACCGTGGACTTAAGAATATATTTCTGAACACAAATTAGCATGAAATGTTCATGTCTCATAAATAATGTGTTATTAATTGTACTTAAATGGGTACGTGACTATATTTTCCCTTGTATCCGCTCATGTACAAAGAATGAGGTGTTGGAAAATTGACCTTCTGAAAGTTATTAACTAAACTTGTATACATCGTTTTCACATCTTAAAAATTACTATTTAAAGTAAGGTTTCTTCGAATACTTTGCTTAAACAGTGCTCCGATTTTATAAATTAGGATTTTAATATTTGAACAATTAAGGCCACAAAATATATGTGTATTAGTGATAAACCGGTTTACTTACATTTTCAGATGTATGGATGTTTCTTTCCTGGGGACCTATATGGTGACGAGTTATTCCATTTACCTGTTATTAATGTATAAACAACAATACTTGGAATCCAGTCTGCAAACATTACTTATTGCTATGTCGGTCACGCATTGGACAACCTTTCAAGTTGTCAAGAGAAATCCTTGTTTTGAAAAACATTTCAACATGTTAGTAAACCGGTCCATCTATCCGAAGCACGACCATTGTCATTTTGCACTTCAGATGAAATTACAGAGCACCTCTTTTAAACCAATAGACATAAATCCTTAATGACGCTGGATCATAGCAAAATTTTGGCCAAAATGACAGGTTCGATACACAACTGTATTGTTAGACCTTATTAGTCTGACACGAATTAAAACGAGTTAAATTTTGAGCTATTAACGATAACTTTTAACCGAGTATTTAATTTCTTGTATTAATTTGATTTACATAAAATCTAAATATTTTTGGCGTTCTTTGTGCATCTCAGGGTGATCTGGTGCTCAACCAAACAATAGCTCATCATCAGTACCGTTCATGGGTGAGACATGCTGAAGTGTCCATCATCGGCGGGGAGGTTGCGAGGGAAACATTTGGAATCAGAAAAGGGATAGTCGATGGACCAGAAGAACATGACAAGACTTTAATTGGTGAGCGCTCGACAATTCGACATTAATTACATTGTAATTTTTATGTCTACCCTCATATTTTGTTTTCAATATTGGCATAATTACCCAAAGATATTCAATTTACAGCGTTTAAAAGCAGTCAATTTTTTTTTAACCGTTACCTGATGTAGAGTGTTCTGAAATTTGTATTCATCGGTACAATTCCTACTATTAAATGAACATAGAGGCAGAAAATCTCCGTTTTTATATAACAACATCAATTTCAAGCCTTACCGCTCACGATGGCGGTCTCCTGCGTTCATTGATTGGATTATATATATTATATTATATGTGTTATATTATATTATATATTATATTATATTATATTATATGTGAGAGTATGTGTTTATGTGTATGTGTATGTATGTATGCATGTGCTATGTATATGTATATATATATATATATATATATATGTATGTATATGTGCGTATATATGGATATATATCTATAAAAAAAAGTTTAAGCTCACTTCCTTATTTTGTATTCATTATGTATCATGAATATATTGTTTATCTTCTGAATTGTTTTGTATATTATCTTTGTAAACACAATTTATATTATGTATTGTATTATTTTGAACGCAGAAATAAAAGCAAACAAACATGATAATAACAATAGTAATAGTAATATTTGAAATTCATAAGGCACCAAATTCATTTAAAACCTAAATGCTCAAGTGTGTCACTTGTGAAAAAAAAACAAGATCACATATTAAAAAGCATCTGCATTATAAGGGACAAACCATTGCATATAGAACGTCCAGAAATTACGGAACAATTAATCATATGCCGTATTAAACAAATACCTTTTAAGATTATTAATTAATACTTCAACTGATCTGCTATTACTAATCTCTCGAGGGAGAACGCATTCTACAGCGAAGGCCCTCCGTGAGCAAAGATTTCCATTTATTTCATCCAATTAGATATAAAAAACAAACAATCATGAGGTTAGCGGGAAAATCAAATCATGGAAACTGTTTGCACAAAAGTTTGTATATTGAAGAATAATTAAAAACAGGCCATCTAAGTATTTTGACTGTAAATAGCCGTGTCCACACGATGACAATTTGGGTTGGTGTAAAGGTCGTGTTTAGACCTAGTCAGCGTAAGTATGATAAGGTCAGCGTAAAGGTCGATGCAGTGACTTGTTACTTGTAGAGATAATCCCGATGGCAGCTATCATACAGCTAAACTGGGATGTCCGTGCAACGTGCTGGCATAGTGACAGTGCATAAAGTAATTTAAAACAGTGACCGTCTGAACGATAAGTTTAATACGATGAGTGTAAGCTACGCCAACCGACCTTTAAGCCGCCTGATTTACTCCTGCTTTTTTCAGAGGTTAGCGTGAATTGACCGTGTGGATGCTCTCACTTGGCACTCGAAGTATCTGTGACCTTTCACAATGATTGTTTGACCTGGGTCACAACCAGGGTCACACCTAAAGTGTTTACTAAATGTGGGTTTTTCGATGCATTTAGAGTGATTTTCAGCTTTAAAGCTAGTGTTTGTTTACAATAAAAAAGCGTGGTTTAGATGCGGAAGATGGGTTGAGGTCGACTTGTGGGGGCGACACCACTTCCGGAGGTTACGCTTAGTAAGACTGTGCCGGTGGAAGTTGTGTTAACTCAATCGTGGCAAGTTGGTCTGAGTAAATAGCGTATGGACAACTGGTAGTGTAAGTCAAATATTTAGGAATATTTATTGCTGCAGGACAAAAACTTATGCCAACTAGGAAGTCACTTCTGAACATGGCTATTGTATTAATTACGAACACTAGGGGATCTATCACGGTCTTCAACAAAATTTACTCTAAGCAGGCGCGGATCCAGGATTTCATAGGTGGGGGGGGGGGGGGGGGGGGGGGGGGGGGGGGGGGGGGGGGTGGGGGTAGTGAGCACTTTTTTTTTTTTTTTTTTGCTCCTGAAAATTTGAAAATCGCGTCGGCTGATAAATCGCTCTTTGGTGGGGCTTGGTCCGCCTCTGACTGTAAGAACTGAAGCCATTTGAGTATATTATTATTTTTTCTTTTTTTTGCAGAAATTTACTTATTGCGAACTATTCCAAGGGATCTCTCGGGTCCAGTCGAGTTCGTCGTTCGTATCGATGGGCATGGGTGTGGCCGACACAGCAATGAAACCGCACGTGGTGGTCGAACACTGGACATCGCCCTCAACGTCACAATCTGGCCCGTGGTCAATTACGAAAGCACTGTGTATAGCAACATTACGGCGGGAAGTCGGGTAAGATACCTTCCCTTTTCACGAAAAATATCGGTTAATTATAGATAGAGTAAATACGACAGAAGTTCATAAACTCAGATAAGGTTTTTCAACTCTAGTGGAATGTATGTCATATATGAACGACTGAAATATGCCAATAAATAAATGTTGATATTGAAATGACTGATTACTGCCACCGATCACCCGCCCTATTGTCAACTTTTTGAAGACAGATAAATGTGTTTTCCAGGTAACCGCAACATAAAATGCCACGCCACTTCATAATGCGTAAAGTTACGCATAATCCCCATAACGCCATTTAGTGCCACAAAAGCATTGAGCGGTGCTCGAATTAATATTGTGTGCCAATTGTTTGACATTTCCGTTTTGCAATTAGCGTTAATGCTTCTAAACATCCTGTAAAAGAAGAAAATGCCCTGTGTTATTATAAAGCTTTTGCGGCTAGGCTTTAATGTCAAACTATTTCATCAACGTGACCAGATTGTTCGACCAGCCACAGAGTACGTAGCCACATGCTGCCAATTCAGATCTTTATTAAAATCAAAATGGCTGTAAACAAAATGGCGGTTTCACTAACCTTTTGTTATTCATAGAAATCATTTTCGGGTTACGTGATACGCCGTTGTGACACCCACAAATAGAAAGGTTCTGAATGCACTTGCCACTTGAGGCTAGGCTTTATGTATCCCCATAACGTTTTATACAACAGTCCTTGGTACACTTTCCTTTTTTAATCATACTTAATTATTCAACATCCTCTGCCATTACAAGCTGCCTTTTGGGGTTATCTAACTTGCTTTTAGGCCTACTCTGAATAACTGCTCGACAAATAGGTTTAGTGGCACGCGGCCAGTCGCCAAAAGGCATTTTTGTCTCATTGCTTTCACTTCTACAATCACGGCAATTATATTTTTAGTAAGACATGTGACCTAGTCAGGCGCGGATCCAGGGGGGGGGGGCCGAGCGGGCCTTGGCCCCCCCCCCCCGCAAAAAAAAAAAAAAAAAAAAAAAAAAAAAAAAAAAAGAGAGAGAAGAAAGGAAAAGAAGGGAAAGGGAAAGAAGAGAGAAAGGGAAAGAAAAAAGTGGAAGAAAAAAGAAAAGGGGAAAGAAGGAGATCGGGGGGGGGGCCGAAAGAGCCTTGCCTCCCAGGCTGTTGACCCCCCCCCCCCCCCCCCATCAAAAAAATAAGAGAGAAGGAAGGAAAGGGAAAGAAAAAAGGAAAAGAGGAGATACTTGCGTACTGATGGGGGGGGGGGGGGCTTGGGGGAAATCAAACTCAAACGTGGTTTATTTCTAATTCCACAACCGTGGATTACAAATAATGCTGAAATTACTTAATTTCCGAGATTTTTTCTCACTTTTTAGTAAATTATACGTTTGTATGTGTTTGTTGGAAAATGACAAATTCCTAAATTTACAGCCAGGCAAGAAATATGATTCTTGAGATTCCTACATGTCAGGGCCCGAGGTACGGCAGGAATCGGGAGCCTCGAGCTCCCTCCACCCCCTACACTTTTTTTGAAAAAGTGTAATAAAGAGAAATAAAATAGAATGAGAGCAAGAAAGAGAGAATAGTTAACTGCTTGTGTTAAAAAATAATGAGGCATCAAAATATGCTCATCTGAACTGGATTAAATGCCTAAAACCCCTAAGCTTCCGGGGGCTCTGCCCCCATGGACTCCACCTATAGGGCCCTACGGGGGCCCATAGATGCTTATCTGACGGTAATTTAATGCCTAAAACCCCTGATTTGGGGGGGGGGGGGGCTCTGCCCCCTGTACTTTACGCCAATAGTGTCCTACCAGTGTCACACAAAAAATAAGGTATACAAAAAAAAAGCTCATCGGACCTTAGTTAAACGCCTAAAACCCCTGAGCTTCCGGGGCCGGCTCCGCCGTCTCGACCCCACCAGGGGCCCTAAGGCGGGCCCCTGAATGCTTATCTGACCGTAAATTATTGCCTTAAACCCCTGAGCTTGCGGGGTCGGACAAGGTATCAAAATATGTTTATCGGACCGCAGGCACGTAGCCAGGCGGGGGCGTAGGAAGAAAAAGGAGCAGACAAAGGATATCTTTGAAATTCAGAATCAAGAACGGTACAGCAAATCGTCTTCTTTCTCTCTTAATCTTAATGAAACGTCAAAGCTTCCGCGCTTTGCGCGCGGGAGGGGGGGGGGGGGAACCTGAATTCAAACGAGGATCCAGAGGCGAGAACTATAATACGAATCTTTAATGATTTAACGAAACATAAAAGCTTCCGCGCTTCGTGCGGGATAGAGGGGGAACAAAATTCCGACATGGATTATTTTCGAGAACGGTACAACGAATCGTCTTCTTTCTCTAATGATTTAATGAAAATTAAAAGCTTCCGCGGGAGGGGGGGGACCTGAATTCAGACAAGGAATAAGAGTCGAGAACGGTACAACGAATCGTCTTCTTTCTTTAATATTTTGATGAAACGTCAAAGCTTCCGCGCTTCGCGCAGGAGGGGGAGGGGGGACTGAATTTAGACAAGGATTAAGAGTCGAGAACGGTACAACGAATCGTCTTCTTTCTCTAATGATTTAAGGATTCGTAAAAGCTTCCACGCTTCGCGCGGAAGGGGGAAGACTAAATTCAGACGAGGATTAAGAATCGAGAACTGTACAACGAATCGTCTTGTTTCTTTAATATTTTGATGAAACGTCAAAGCTTCCGCGCTTCCCGCAGGAGGGGGAGGGGGGGGGGGGGACTGAATTTAGACAAGGATTAAGAGTCGAGAACGGTACAACGAATCGTCTTCTTTCTCTAATGATTTAAGGATTCGTAAAAGCTTCCACGCTTCGCGCGGAAGGGGGAAAACTAAATTCAGACGAGGATTAAGAATCGAGAACTGTACAACGAATCGTCTTGTTTCTCGAATGATTTAATGAAACGTTAAAGCTTCCGAGCTTCGCGCGGAAGAGGGGAAAATCTAAATTCAGACGAGGATTATTTTCGAAAACGGTACAACGAATCGTTTTCTTTCTCTCATGATTTAATGAAAATTAAAAGCTTCCGCGAGAGGGGGGGGGGGACCTGAATTCAGTCGAGGATTAAGAGTCGAGAACGGTACAACGAATCGTCTTCTTTCTTTAATATTTTAATGAAACGTCAAAGCTTCCGCGCTTCGCGCAGGAGGGGGAGGGGGGGGGATGAATTTAGACAAGGATTAAGAATCGAGAACTGTACAACGAATCGTCTTGTTTCTCGAATGATTTAATGAAACGTTAAAGCTTCCGAGCTTCGCGCGGAAGAGGGGAAAATCTAAATTCAGACGAGGATTATTTTCGAAAACGGTATACGAATCGTTTTCTTTCTCTCATGATTTATTGAAAATTAAAAGCTTCCGCGAGAGGGGGGGGGGACCTGAATTCCGTCGAGGATTAAGAGTCGAGAACGGTACAACGAATCGTCTTCTTTCTCTAATGATTTAAGGATTCGTAAAAGCTTCCACGCTTCGCGCGGAAGGGGGAAGACTAAATTCAGACGAGGATTAAGAATCGAGAACTGTACAACGAATCGTCTTGTTTCTTTAATATTTTGATGAAACGTCAAAGCTTCCGCGCTTCCCGCAGGAGGGGGAGGGGGGGGGACTGAATTTAGACAAGGATTAAGAGTCGAGAACGGTACAACGAATCGTCTTCTTTCTCTAATGATTTAATGAAAATTAAAAGCTTCCGCGGGAGGGGGGGACCTGAATTCAGACAAGGAATAAGAGTCGAGAACGGTACAACGAATCGTCTTCTTTCTTTAATATTTTGATGAAACGTCAAAGCTTCCGCGCTTCGCGCAGGAGGGGGAGGGGGGACTGAATTTAGACAAGGATTAAGAGTCGAGAACGGTACAACGAATCGTCTTCTTTCTCTAATGATTTAAGGATTCGTAAAAGCTTCCACGCTTCGCGCGGAAGGGGGAAGACTAAATTCAGACGAGGATTAAGAATCGAGAACTGTACAACGAATCGTCTTGTTTCTTTAATATTTTGATGAAACGTCAAAGCTTCCGCGCTTCCCGCAGGAGGGGGAGGGGGGGGGGGGACTGAATTTAGACAAGGATTAAGAGTCGAGAACGGTACAACGAATCGTCTTCTTTCTCTAATGATTTAAGGATTCGTAAAAGCTTCCACGCTTCGCGCGGAAGGGGGAAAACTAAATTCAGACGAGGATTAAGAATCGAGAACTGTACAACGAATCGTCTTGTTTCTCGAATGATTTAATGAAACGTTAAAGCTTCCGAGCTTCGCGCGGAAGAGGGGAAAATCTAAATTCAGACGAGGATTATTTTCGAAAACGGTACAACGAATCGTTTTCTTTCTCTCATGATTTAATGAAAATTAAAAGCTTCCGCGAGAGGGGGGGGGGGGGACCTGAATTCAGTCGAGGATTAAGAGTCGAGAACGGTACAACGAATCGTCTTCTTTCTTTAATATTTTAATGAAACGTCAAAGCTTCCGCGCTTCGCGCAGGAGGGGGAGGGGAGGATGAATTTAGACAAGGATTAAGAATCGAGAACTGTGCAACGAATCGTCTTGTTTCTCGAATGATTTAATGAAACGTAAAAGCTTCCGCGCTTCGTGCAGGAGGGGGAAAACTGAATTCAGACGAGGATTAAGAGTCGAGAACTGTACAACGAATCGTCTTCTTTCTCTAATGATTTAATGAATCGTAAAGGCTTCCACGCTTCGCGCGGAAGGAGGAAAACTGAATTCAGACGAGGATTAAGAGTCGAGAACTGTACAACGCATCGTCTTGTTTCTAGAATGATTTAATGAAACGTAAAAGCTTCCAAGCTTCGCGCGGGAGGGGGACAATCTAAATTCAGACGAGGATTATTTTCGAAAACGGTACAACGAATCGTCTTCTTTCTCTAATAGTTAAATAAACTTAAAAGCTTTCGCGCTTCGCGCAGAGGGGGGGGGGGACCTGAATTCAGACGAGGATTAAGAGTCGAAAACTCTACAACTAACCGTCTTCTTTCTCT